TTTCTATTCTATCAATAGTTTCTCAGTATTTTTATCAATTTGTTTGTTTGTTTGTTTGTTTGGCCAGCAGCATATTCTCACGGTATTATATTGGAACCACCTTCTTCCGGATTTTTTTCATGTTTTGGATTTAATAATCCTCCCAGTTCGGAAAACAAGCGAATACAAAGAGGTTATTCAGCGGAAAGTTGTGTAATACGGCTGGGTATTTTTACGAGTCAGTTTTTATTTTTTCAAGCCTTTAGGCGAGAAAAAATAAACATTGACGAGTAAAAATGCCCAGCCGTATTACACAACTTTCCGCTGAATAAATTGTTTATTATACGACATAATATCTTTCCTAAAATATAGGCTTTCAACAGTGTTTTCCGTATCGAGCGGTCAGGGGGACTAAGACCCGTGTAATACGGTCTCATATTTGCTCTCGTCTTGTGGTGCGTATTCGCACTCTAAAATGCTATGTCGTATAATAAGGTCCGTTATTACAAGAAAAATGCGAATACACGCTCTGCCGTCAAGATTTAGTTACTCGCATCATTTTGTTTTTCGTTGCTTCCATTTGCGATTCCATAGCAACTCGTGGCACTATGGTTCTTAACCATATTGTACACCCCATCATAGAGTGAAAAAGCCGAAAACAGTTAGCTAAAGTTTCACGGTTGTTCATATCGATCTGATCATGAGTGACCAACTATGGCCTGATCAGTTAAAACCGTTTTGGACTGTCTCGTATGAACGAGCAAGGGCTGGCGTACTGGGAGAATAGCGAGCGAATATGGCTCTTCTTAACATTTTACTTTGAATTTTGGTTGTTTCCTTCGTCTGTTTCTTTAGGATAATAATTCTCACTCTCCTAGTTTTGCCAGATGGGCATTAACACCGCTCATAATTAGAGAGATTAAGCACCACGTTCTACGGCAAACGGCAAACGTCAGCTTGCACTCGATTTTCTTTACTTTTTCTCCAATCGTTAAATAAATCCATAAGAAAAATCGAAAATAATTCACACGTTCTCAATAAACACGAAACTGCTCACTTTCACGTAGAAACGGCAGACGGAAAAGTGGGATTTTGCCGTTCGTGGCCGGGAGAAACAAACGCGATGCTTTTAAAATCTCTCTCCAAAATATGCCCGTGGGCATTACGGGAAAATCCGGCCACGAGTATTAGCCAATCACAGCGAGTGTTAGATCTCTACAAGCTCCAGCCATATAACAAACACACCGTATTCCACTTTCGACACAATCAATCAAGCAATTTGACACAAACTTTGTTGTATAATGCCCTTAGCACAAAATTATCGGGAAAATAATATTCAGAACATTTTACTACACGGTAAGCGTCCGCCATCAATACTTCAAAATTAGTTTTTTTCCTTCAAAAACTATTTAGATAACTTATAAATATTATATTAGCATATCTAAATATAATGCAGAAATATTGGGTTTGTTTGCATTTGCGGAAATGATATAAAAATAGAATAGAATAAAAATAGAAGCTGAATGAGAAGAAATCAGCATGACTGCATGTAGGGCGATTCGAGAACATATTCGATTTTCCCACGGTGTGAAATGCAAGCTTGTTTGTTTGATGGGAGTTATCATAGCGCATGTGCGAGGAATTTTTAAATTTCTTAGCCATAACATTAAAACTGTCCAACTTATTATTTCTTCCAGGCCGTGAAAACTCACACGACTTTGGACTGCAAGTGTCATGGCGTCTCTGGCTCATGCCAAGTAAAAACATGTTGGAAGACCATGGCTCCATTTGGTGCAGTGGGAAGCTTTCTTCGCGACAAATATCACAATGGCGTCCTTGTAACAGTTGATCAAAGCGGCAACGAGCTCATGATGGCTGAAGGGAGATATCCATCAAAGATCCCACGTGATGATCTCGTGTTTTTAGAAGAGTCCCCGGATTATTGCGTTCCTAACTCCAACACGGGCTCGCTGGGCACCACGGGAAGAGTTTGTAACAAGACCACTCCGGGTCACGGGAGCTGCGGGATTTTGTGTTGCGGGCGCGGGTTCAACACGATTCAGATCGAGGAGGAATACAAGTGCTCTTGCAAGTTTCACTGGTGTTGTTACGTGAAGTGTAATACTTGCAGAAGAACTGTTGATAAGCACGTGTGTAAATCACCCGAGGATGATGTATCGGCGTACAACCAGGACCATAATTCGATGTCTGCCGCAAACTCAGACAGAAACAACCAAAACAGACCTCCTAGGAAGTCCAGGAAAAGAAGCAAGCGACGAAAGGCTAAGAAGAACAAGAAGAGAGTCAACAGTCTCGATAGCGGAGACAATAGAGGAAACCAAATCTTATGATAATGGCAATGGAAAGGACAAATTGCGTAGATTACACGAAGTACCTTCCAATATCGGCTATCAGCCAATGAGCGGAGCGTTAATGCACGAACTTAGCTCATGTAAAGATGAGATCAGTGTTCACTAAGCCGAACATTTAGAGGTGTCATAGAAAAGATACTAGTAGTTGTATTTCATAAAAAAAGAAACTAAAATTCGTGAATTAAGAAAAACTCAGGTTGAATGGTGCGGAAGACCTTAGTGGAAAAAAAAATACAATATTTAAGAATGACAAAATCCAAATTGGATTAATTCGCGTCCCTTATGTTCTATAAGGTGTTGTATAAATACAAATGAACTGTGACTTGCAGATAACAGTTTAGCTCGGAAATCTCATTGACAGAGGACTGGCCCCGGCTGCTCAAAGGGTGGATAACACCATCCACCGGATAAATCACTATCCAATGGACAAAACAAACTACGTTATCCACTGGATAGTAATAGAGTGCCGGGTAAAGTGTGACGTCACAAATTTTCAAATTATTTTTATCAAGTCGGCTCAAAATCCCATCATTAGATAAAGATTGCTGCTGTATGATCAGTCACAAAATTTCAACTTGTTAGCACGAATAGAACAGAAGGTATAGAGTTTCAAAGTGTGCTACTGTCCCATACAAACCTCTCTAATTTTGCGCCTGTTCTAAACTGAAGGAACAGACGCAAAATTAGAAGGGTTTGTATGGAGAAATTAAAACCTGAAGTGTCCACATCTCGGCCGCAAATTGCAATGGAGAGCTAATTTTTGGTAAGTGGACGTTTTTTGGAATAGCTGATCAAATTTCATAATTTCGCAAATTTAATTTTTGTGACGTCATGACTTTAGTAGTCTATTTATCCTGTGGATAGCGTAATCCGTGCTTTGAACAACCGGGCCCAGATGGTTTTAAAGCTTTATCTCTTTTATATAATTTAAAAAACGGCCTGTGTTCAATGGTAAATTTTTATTTCACATGATTGTCTTATATTTATCAAGGTGAACATTATTATTTATGTATATATTTAAATTCAGTTAGAGTCTGGACCTTAACAGCGACGATCATGAACACAAAACTGACTTGTAACTGAGTGAGAAAAGGTTTCAAGTACAAACGCCGTCCAAGTATGGATTTGTATCGAAAATAAAATTCATGTTATCATGATGATGAAATATGCTGTATAATTTCACTTTTTTGTTAGATTATATGGGCTTATTGACCGAGTGAAATTGGCCGGACACCATGACTTCAAGCGAAATATTTCCCTTTATTATATTGACACGAGTGTTTTACTTAACAAATAAAGAAGCCAAAACCATGTATTATACTGTCATAAAACACGACGTGAATTTGAGAACACGAGAGAAATTTAGAAAACACGAGCCGCAGGCGAGTGTTTTCTATATTTCGCAAGTGTTCTCAAATTCCCGGAGTGTTTTATGACAGTATAATACATGGTTTTGGCTTCTTTATGTGCTTTAAAATATAGATTTACGTGCGCGAAACGATAAAACACGCTTTTCTATGATTTATACTCTGATAAAAACATGGTTTTTAACCAATCAGAGCGCGCGAAATTTTCAGTCTATATTTTAATGGAAAAAAGACCACTCGTAAAATTCATACGGAACTACATCCGGGACCCGAGTGGCGTATTTTCCATATCCTCACTAGTGAGGATATCGATGACGTCATTTCCCGCTTTTGCATGGCTTTTTGTGCAAAGCTGCCAAACTCCGGTTGAAAAATGGCGAGCGATAGATTCGTGAAATTCACTGAAGCCGACATGAAATCGTTCACTAAGGAGTAGGAAAATGTTAACACGAAGAAGAAAACTTCATATGACTTAAAATTATTCAAGGAGTTCCTTGCAAGTGAAGACGAAAGGAGAGAAATTCGGAAAGTCCAGCCACCGAGCTGCAAGAGTTCGCGATAAAGTTTGTGCTTTTGTCTTTTGTCTATATAATAAAAAGAAAATTACACGGTGGCTTGAGGATATGAATTTTATTTTCGAGTGGTAACTGAACAATATTTTACTCACTCGCTGCGCTCGTTCGTAAAATATTGTTTTTACCGACTCGAAAATAAAATTAATATCTTCGCGCCGCCGTGTAATATCCTCTATGTACAGCCCGAGTTCAGTGAGGTCCGTGCAAAATGATAGTGCGCCGAATATTTTCTCGTTCCCCTGAGCAGCCAAGGGAACAAATACCAGTTGAGGACGAAATTCAATCCCGCGATTTTCGTCCCGAAGTTGCTAAGCAACACGACGTATCCTCATTGCACTTTGCTGGCGTGACAATTGTCGGAGAAGTCGTGAGTGCTCGCACTGTTTCTTGATTGGATAATAAAAATCGGGAACTCTTCGAGTGCTTCAACGAAGATTTGCCAAAAACGGCACTTGTACCCCGCGACTGTGAGTTCACAAGCGCCTTTTCCCGCTCTTTTGCCGGTCGCCGTGCCGCGACCGGCAAAAGAGCGCGAAACGGATCGGTGTCTGTTTACTCAAGCGAACAGACCTGGTATGACAAAATGCTTAAGTGAGTTTGAACTGATTTTGGACTTGAATTTTTTTGAAAGTTGTGAAAATGTCTTGGTGAATGAGAAAGGTATTTATCAGTCAGTGACAAAAGCTACTCGGAAGAAAATTTCCGAGTTCTCCAAACAGGAGTTGAGTCGAAGCTATGGCCTTCCGCACACCAGTCGGACGCTCTGCCACTGAGCTACAGGAGAGTCGTGTTAGCTATGTAGGAGGAAGGCCATATGGTTCAAATGCGACAAACCTCCCGCATACTGCTAGGATTCGTTTTGTCGATATGTGAAATATATTTCTACCAAAAATTCACCATCATTTCTTTCCACACGTGTCTTGGTCAATGCTCTGAATTGCGCGTGGTAAATGCGGTGTTGGATCGGCTCACGTGACCCGTCCCGTCAGCGAGGTCTGTGCAAAATGACCGAGAGAGAATGGAATAAAACAACGAGTACGTTTTATGCATCCCCAGACCTCCACCGCGGTCAAACGTCTGTGCATGCGAACAAAAATAAACTACACAACCGAGGGGGGCGGTATCCAAGATGGCGGATCCAAGATGGCGGCTGTTCGGAAATCATGACGTGATATCTACGTCATATGACGTTATAATTACGTGAATTATACGTCAAAATATAAATGTTTGGAAGTACTATACACCCACGAAGTTTGGCTGTGCTAGCTATAAATAATCTTTGAATAACGGAGGCGGGGCGGAATCCGCTCCTCCCCGGTCTGAAAAGACCAAAATAAGCCCGGTCTGAATAGGGTTAAACACGTCTAACTTTTGTGGTAAACTTCCATAAAAAATGTAAATCAACACAATGCTGGAAATTACTCAATTTAGCTGAAATTTGTGTTTGAAAAGTCTAAACTTCTCCTAATTACCTACTATTGTTTCCTTTCGCAAATTACTTGTTGCAATGGTTTTCCTTTGAAATTTTGCGCGGGAAATTGGCGCGCGGGCGACCAGAATTTACGACTTCGCGCATGCTCGAGCATTTGACCGCGGCGAACCCTGAACCCCAGGTACACTTACGCAAGTAAAGCTAATTTCCCTTGTGAACTTGGCATTAATTAAGTGATCTAATAAAAGCATCGACCACTCGAGTTACGAGCGCACGTCACCCTCGAGCGACGAAGTCCACAAGAAACCATTATTGGGAAAAATAATATTAGATTCATGGGTACTTACAGGTAATATACATCAGATACATACGATGTGAGTCGTAACGTGAACCGCAGCAGCTGCAATTCTCAATTGCTTCGCAGTTTCTAACGATCCAATTGCTCATAAAAGCATCCATGCGACAACAATTGGCTGTTGTGTATTTCTTTGTCTCCTATGTAGTTTTTTTTAATTTAAACAATATTTAATCTCAACATTTGCTCTAAGAGCATCAGGTGCTCATCTAGAGAGCTTACGTTGTTTAACATTACAATAACACACGATCAGACTGAAAGACAAGGAAAAAGAATTAAAAGGACAGGTACAAGCAAAATCACACACAAAAAAGGAAAAAAATTAAGAAAAGCGGTTTGATTGGGAGATAAAGGACTGAACAGATTTGAACAAATTTACAGTAATTTGAAAGTCGATATCAGGCACACCATTTAAAAGCCAATCAATTTTTTTCTTGTCAGATGCCAACAGCCACCCATCTCCCAACCAGTGTGCAGCGGAGGCAAACAAAATAACGCGCAGAGCAGCAAAACTTGGGCAGTACAAAAAGTAATGTTTAGCATCTTCGATAGGTGCATCGCAAAATCATATGTAGTTACTGGACCGATTTAGCGCGATTCCAGTGAGTTTTAGTTGTAGATCTGAAATCGAGCTAAATTGGCTCAGTAATCACACAAGAGACAAATAAATACACACTAAATAAGGCAGGCAATTTTTATTCAAACCAAGTTCGTATTTTTAGACCCAAGAAGAGACCATTTCTTCTCCATATAAATCCTTATATTTTCAACTGTTACGTAACATTCAGGCCGGTAAACCAAGCCTGCGAGCATTTTCGCGGCTATCGCCGCTCGCGCGCGCGTTATTTTGTGAGCCTGCTCGCAGGCTACGGTAAACCATGAATAGGGACTTGAAAAGGGCGTTTCATGGGTGCGTAAACATCAAATTGGACAGGCCATGAGAAATGTCTTTACTGATACGTTTGGACAGACCATTGAAATAATGTTGTTATGAGTCCGTTCACACGTGTATTTACGGTCTAAAAGCCAAATCATAAAGATGCCCACAACTTCATTTGATAAGACCATTGTCAACAGAAACTAGTAATAAATTATAAGCTGTTGTTCGGTTTGAGCTAAGATAGCTTCATATAATTGATTTTTCCAGTTGCACCTGGTCGAAATGTGGTGGGTCCGGCGTTTTCACAGTGAACTTGTATGGTTGGTTTTTGCCGCCGATAAACCGTGAAGAGGGACTCGAAAACGGCGTTTCATGGGTGCGTAAACATCAATTTGGATAGGAAGAAATGTCTTTACTGATACATTTGAACGGATACATTGAAATAATGTTGTTATGAGTCTGTTCACACGAGTATTTAAGCTCTAAACGGCCAAATAAAGACGCCCCACAACTCCATTTGCGTTTTTTCGTCTATTTTTATTAGTTATAGCTGATTACATAACTTTACATCCTCTACAGACAGGATCCGGTACTTCTGTTTTGTTACGGTGGTTCATGCAAATTTACATTAATTGTTTTCATAACTTTGTGCATTCTAAATTATGTAAGAGATTCTTATATAACTACTTGATGTTTGTGAATTATACAAAAATTAAGGCCATCGCTGGCAATATATACCTGGGGAAAGCAAAAAAACGGATTTTGATAAACATAGATCCCTCTCAAGACAATTAAGGCATGGGCCTTCCCATTTTTGCACTAAAAAGGTTAGGGGTGGTCTATCTTCTGAGGCTTTAAGCCCAATAACCTAAAACTGTGGCAGACTAATAAGTTTGTAAATCTTGTCATATTGACATGAATGACGTATATGCAAATTAAAGTCCACGTGACTGTTACGCCCACAAAATTCGAAAATCCTCTTTGAACAAAAATGGCACCAGTTTATACGTATACCAACCGTCATTTAATTTTACTGCTACCAGATAGATCAAAAGGGTAAAAAACAAAAGATCTGTGCTTGGGCTTTGTTTGAAATTTTCATTAATTTTGAAAATAAACGGCATTTTGTACTAGTACCCAGTCCCCCTATTAAAGTAATTTCTTATTTGATACTTTTATTTCAAATTATCTTAAAATGCCCAAGCACAGAATTGAAGTATTTAATAGTCTTAACATCATAAAGCTAGCAGCAGCCCCCCAAAAATATTTAAAAGTGGTGCCGTTTTGCTAATAAGAATTTTGAGCTAAAAATAACCCTGACAGGTCACGTGACATTATATGACCCTAAACGAAACGACATTTAAGGTTCCATAACTTAATGCTGTTAATGATGTCCCCAAGGTTTATTCCGTGTTATGTAAAATGCTTAAAAAATTAGACCACCCCCTCACTTTTTTATGAACACAGATTTAGGCCCATGCCTTAATTTTCCTGAGCTTCTCGATTTTTCGAGAAACAAAAAGGAACTTTGACTTGCTTGAACACTTCTATTGTTAAAAGGCTCGAACGATTATTTTTAGTAAATTATTTTTAGCCGAATTAAATAAACGATTATTTTTAGCAAATGCGCCCTGAAAAAAATGTATTTCTAAATATTTAAAGTCACTAAGGTGTTGTTGTTTACATCAGTTTAACTAAGATAGATTCATATAATTGATTTTTACGGCCCTAAATGGTCGAAATGTAGTGGATCCGGCGTTTTTACAGTGACTGCCTCAGGAGTGTTTGTAAACCCCCAGGGAGGGAAGGTACTCCCTTATCTGGCCTTAACGGGGACGTGCGGCCCGATAGGGTATGGTTTTCAGGTTTTTTTTGTCTTGAACGGGTATCGATTTTATCACGTTTTGTCTTAAACGGGATAAGCATATACGGTCTATACGGTTAACTTATAAAAACCTAACCACAAGCCGAATTTTTACCATTTTTTGAGTTTGAGTGGCACCTCCCTACCCAAAGTCTGTCGAGTACCCCTCCCCCGGGTTGCAAACGCACTTAATGAGCTCCAATTAATGTCAGTTTTTTGTCGAAAGGATGAATTATTACACGATAAGTAAAATCGATAAGGAATAACGCGCGTTCTTATGATAATTTCTATTGCCTTGTGCGCCACATTTTGCATCAAACTTTGCTATCAAACGTCAACACAACAAAGTTATTAAAAGTAACAGATTGAGACGAGTCATCAACGTACGGTTATAGTAACTGTGTGGTCGGTATTGGACGTGAGATGAAAACTGTGTAAGTGTAACCTTCAAGTGTTTCGTAATTAAACGGCGGCAAGCTATGCCTGAGTGAGCTGCCACTACTTAATGGATATATTTCTTGTATTCAACACCGACTGCACTTAATGCTACTGTAAACCGTGCTGATGCACACGCCGGAGTCTGTTAACTCTACAAATCGGCGGAGCTAAAAGGGTTAAGGTGATACAAGTATGCGGATCGCGACTGTTTGTTTTTTTACTGCTGTTCTGGTTTCATTCCCAGCACTGTCCGCTTCTAACTGGTGGTAAGTTTCTTCTATAAAATCTTTCGCCCTGTATGCATAGTAATTATCTTGCCCTTCAGCTCAGCTCTTTGCACTCCAGTTTACCGTTCAAAAACTGTTGAAAAATAGTCCGTCAGTTTAGTCTAGGTGAGAAACGGATCAGTTTAGCAGGATTGTTTGTTTGTTTGTTTATTTATCACAAGGTTTATGTCACAAGTGTACACACTGGGCGCCAAAATCATGTGTAATCACCACATCGTTGGCTTGGTTAACTTCCAACGACATCTTTGTCGAGAGAATCCTGATGTTATGGTTAACATTGGAAAAGGTGCGAAGCTTGGAGTAGAGGAATGTCAGCAACAAATGAACGACCAAAGGTGGAATTGTTCTACGGTGGCAAGGGATGTCAGCGTTTTTGGAAAGGTTATGCGAAAAGGTAAGATAAATCACCCAAAACAGTCTCTTTCATCTCTTTCATCCAATTAATAAGTTCTTCTCTATTAATAACCCGGAAAACGTCTTATTATTTCATAGAAACTCGACGAAACTGACACTACATCTTGTCAAACA